GTAACCCATCTAACCCTTTCCTCTCAGAGTGGTCTCTTTTCCCCTTGTCCTGTCACTCCATGCCCTTGTCCAAAAATACCTTAAATACTTAAATAACCAGCCTTCACCATTTACTTTCTGAGGAAGCCCCGAGTTACTGCCGTGACCCCTGTGATAAGGTCTCAAACGCTCACATGACTTTAATCCAACTGTCACATTCCTCATCTTCCAACCACTCCAGGAATCCATGCAGCTGCTCACATCCAACAGTTGTATAACACTTTTACCCTGATTTCCCTCTATTTTCCCCCCACAAACAGCAAGTGACACATTTCTTACGTGCCTGTTTCACATCCTCCTGACGATGTCCGTGGGTGGAACACAGAATTCCATTCAGGAAACCCAAGCAGCATTGCCAGCTTGCCTTTTCCAACTAAATTTAGCCCCTGCGCGTGCAGTATATACAGGGAAGGGATAACGTGCTCTGTATGGAAGTGCTGGAACAGAGGTTGTATTATCTCTGGTTGGCAAACCCAACTGCCTGGGTCTGGGTCTCTTCCCAGTCTCCAGATGGCAGATGTCACCCTGTTGCTTGATATTCTTGGACTGGGAGAGGAAATGGCCTCTTCACTTGGTTCTCCACCTCAGTAGCTCGCTCCTGAGTGGAATTCCCAGGGAGAAGGTGGTCAGCTGGGCACCTGTACTGGTGTCGTGGTCCAGCCATTCAGCATCTCAGCATCCTGTGGCGCAGGATGTTTAGTAAAGGATCTCCCTGGACTGAACAGGGAAGTTGGATTCGATGATCTTGGAGGTCTTTTCTAACCTTAATGATTCTGTGATTCTATGGACAGTTCAGACTCAAACCTGACCAGAAAACCAGCTCCCACCTGAACCTCATTCCTATTGAATTTAGAAGATCAATGGCTTTTATCCATCTGCTGCTTCCAGCTCTGGGCTCCCCAGTGGAGTTGCTGGAGCAAGTCCAGAGGAGGCCACAGAGATGCTCCAAGGACTGGAGCCAGGCTGGGAGAGCCAGGGGTGTTTGGCCTGAGAAGAGAAGGCTCCAGGGAGACCTTAGAGCCCCTTCCAGTGCCTAAAGGGGCTCCAAGAGAGCTGGAGAGGGACTTTGGACAAGGGCCTGGAGTGACAGGACAAGGGGCAACGGCTTCCCACTGACAGAGAACAGGGTTAGATGGAATATATGGAAGGAATTCTTGGCTGTGAGGGTGGGGAGGCCCTGGCACAGGCTGCCCAGAGAAGCTGTGGCTGCCCCATCCCTGGAAGTGTCCAAGGCCAAGACGGATGGGGTTTGGAGCAACCTGGTCTAGTGGAAGGTGTCCCTACTCATTGGAATGAGATGAGCTTTAAGGTCCCTTCCCAACCAAACCATTCCAGGGTTCCATGATTCTAAAAATGCTTCTTTAAATTTATATTTTGAAATGGCTTTTTTGCCTCAAATCTTTCCTGCAGCCACCCCAGAATTCCCACTTTGTCAGCCCCATTGGAGGAATCAGCCTGATCCCTGACTCAGAGCTCACACAGACATACCACAGTGTCTCCTGCTGAAGTTTTCTTGGTTTTCCTTTTCTTTTTTTTCTTCCTTGGCTTGTTACTTGATGCAGGCTGCAAAGACAAAGGGAAGAGCTGTCAGCATGCTCTGAGGGGTATCAGCTCCATGGGAAGAAGAGCATTTCCCACTGGGATCAGCACATCAAGGGCCCTTAAACAAAATCAAAATTCATCATTTCCTGTTTGTCAGAGAGTGGAAATTAAGACACAAGGAGAAAATAGATGAAAGCACCAGAGTTTCCCAAAGGGTTAAATCTCAGCTGACTTTCAGATCAATGTCTGAGGCTACAAAACCAGGAAAGACAGAAGTTTAGCTGTGCCAGGTGTGGAGGAAATGCTTCAGCCCCCTTCAGTCTCCAGAACAAGCTGGATTTCTGTCTTTGTAGTGAGTGGGACAGTTTCCAGTTTCACTGGTCATTTCCATTTCTACAGAAACCAACACCTGCCACAAGGCCCCAGCAAAATACAGCTCCTCTCCCTGCAGGTGTAGCTGCTTCAGCTCAGGATGCTCTGCGGCATTCCCTAAAGTGACAGGCACACCACTGCCCACACTGGCTCTTCCTTGGGGTGTACACAGCTGGAAAACACATTTCCAGGATCTAGCAGATAATACAGCAAGGAATCACAGAATTGTGAAATGGTTTGGGGCAGAAGGCACTTCAAAGTTTATCCATTCCCACCCCCTGCCATGGCCAGGAATACCTTCCACTATCCCAGGTTGCTCCAAGCCCCTTCCAACCTGGCCTGGAACACTTCCAGGGATGGGGCAGCCACAGCTTCTCTGGGCAACCTGTGCCAGGGCCTCCCCACTCTCACAGTCAAAAATTTCTTCCCAGTATCCCACCCAACCCTGCCCTCTGGCAGTGGGAAGCCATTCCCCCTTGTCCTATCAAATAATGGTGTTACCAGAACCATGCCACACTGGTTCCAGAACCGAGGGAAGGTGCACCCCCAGTCTGGCTCTACTCAAGAGCAGCATCCGCCTGCCCAGGGCTCCCAGGGAGCTCTGGGAGAAGCCCCAGGTGTGTCCTGGGGTGCTGACGCAGCAAATTCACTGGGTCAGGGCCCCTGGAGCCACTGTTTACACAGGGACCCACTGTCCAGAGCACTCCCAGCCACTGGCACAGCTGGAACATGCACAGATAGTGGACTTAGCCCAGAACCCATGGGCACACAACCGAATTGCACAGCAAACAGGTGAGGCCAGGGGGTCAACCCTGCTTTGCTTCTACAACCCTCATCTCTGCAAGATCCAAGCCAAACCTGCCATGGAAAATTGTTAGTTAAATGTCCCTTTCCTTACAAAATCCTGCAAGGAGACACTTGTGAGCTGATACAAACCACAGGAGTGAATCTTGACACCAAACGACAATAAATCACAATGAGGGAAAGCACATTCAGTGCTTAGTTGACACTGCTTGGAGCCTTCACATCCCCTATTCCAAAACAAATGCTTCCCTGAGACCATTCCCAGCCCCTGCCCAGCCTCAGCTCTGGTGTGGCACAGGGTCTTCCTTGGGAGCCTCCTCTCTGCAGCTGGAAAATCTCCCCGTATCCCACACACAAACCCAGCACTCAGCACCAAGCTGCTGTCCTCTCCGAGAGCCCCGAGTTCCTGGGTTTGAGCTCCCTGTGTGTGTCCCTGCCCTGTTCCTGTGTCCCTGTGCCTGTCCCGTGGTGACCATGGGGTCCCTGGGGCAGTTACCGTTTGGTCTGGCTGCTCGGCCTCCTCCCCCTCTCTCTGCCCATCGTCCGTGTCCTCAGCCACAGCCCCTTCCTTGTTCCTCTCCTTGTTCCTTTCCTTGTTCCCCCCTGCTGTGTCCTGCTCGCTGAGCCGGGTGTCCACTCGCTCCTCTCCAGTCACCGGCTCATCCTCTGACTCCTCGGCAGGGATCTGCAAACAGAAGGACAAGGTGCAGGGACAGCGCAAGGATGGAATTCCCCAGGGATCTGATCCACCACTCCACCAGCAAACAGATGGGGATGACCCCTCATGTCAAGTGTGTCACCCAGCAGGTGCCTGGATAGCCCAAAGCCCGTGGAGGGGGGCACAGGGACACCACGATGTGTCCTCTCACACCACAGCCCTGTCTGGACTTTGCTCTTCCTTGGGAAGAGCTTCCAAACGCAGCCTGCCTATGCTCCCACAGCCAGGCCTTGGGGAAGGACAGGGCTGGATGAGGTGTCTGGAGAGCAGGACCAGGCTCTGTCACCCCAAAGAACTGGTAGTACCACCAAGGCCACCCAACCCTCAGCCTTCAGCACTGTGCTCCTGCAGGACAGGATGGTGGCAGGAATGTTTCTAAAAACAGTTTCCCCATCCCAGCTCTGACAACATCCAAACCCAGGCCTCCCTCCCATTTCCTCCCAGTTCAGCCCCAGCTGCACCTCCCCACCCTTCCCACCCACCACCCAAACCCCTCAGTCCCACCCCAGGCACTGACCCCAAATCACTGCTTCCCACCAACTGTCACCTCTGCCACATCCACTGTCACCCCCAGCCCTCCTGATCCCCCCAGACACCCTCAACCCTCCCCAGCCACTGCCCTTAGGTGATCCCCTCACGGTCACCGGTCCCCCCATGAGTGCCCACTCAGGGGACCCCCAATCACTGCCAGCCCAGCTGCCCCCAAAGTCACTGTTCCCTCAGTCGCTCCCACAGTCACTATCGTCCCACTTGCGCCCCCAGTGACCCAGTGACTTTCACGTCACAGCTGCCCCCCAGTCACCGCCCCCCAAACGCTCACCCTCGCGCCCCCTCAGGCCCCGTCACCCGCCGGCTCTGCCCCCCCTCACCAGCTCGAAGCGGTTGCTGACGGTGGCGCGGGGCCGGCTGCCGGGTGGCGGCGGCGGCCCCGCCTCTCGGGCTCGCTCGGGGCCGGGGTCGATGCCGAACTGGCCCAACCCCGGCCCCTCCTGGCCCCGCTGCTCCCCCCGCAGCCGCCTCAGGGCCCGGCGCGACATCGCCCCCGCCGGCTCCGCGCCTGCGCCCCGCACCGCGCCTGCGCGCCCGCGCCGGCCCCGCCCACCCCACACCGCGCGCGCCCACTGGCTGGGCCACGCCCCGCCCCCCGCGACCGCCGTGGCTGTCCCCGCGCAAGCCCCGCGTGAAATATGTCCCGGGGGGGGCGTGGGAACGGGGTGTTTGCCACGGGACCGGTGCGGGGTGATGGCCCCGGGACACGGGGGAGAGCCGGGGATGGGCCGGGGGGACAGGCTGGGGGCGGTGAGAATGAGCATGGGAATGGGAAGCGGGGTGTTCCCACGGTCCTGTGCAGGGTCGCGGGTGGGCACTGCCGTGGGAGGGGACAGGAAGGATGGCGAGGGGGGATGTGAGCGATGGAGTGGAGTGGAGTACAGGGGGTGGTGGTCCCCGGCCCCCTCACATCTCCCAGCACCCTGCACCCGCTCTCCCTCCCAACCACCCACTCAGGACCAACCACGCGGCCCCGGGGTAGCCCAGCGGGTTTATTATCAGAGGGGGAACATACAGAGCAGCCGTGCCAGCCCAGGGCACCGGGCACCCCGGCACAGCCAGGGCTTGGCACAGAAGCAGGGCTGGGGGGAGCCAACACAGGGGGCTGCAGGTGCCCCACCGTGGGATCTGTTCCCCCAGGAGCTGCCCCACGGTGCGATCTGTGCCCCCGGGGGGGCTGCGGGTGTCCCACAACAGGATCCATCCATCTGGGGACTGACAGTTGTCCATGGTGGGATCCATCCCCTCAGGGGCTGTGGGTGCTCCACAGCAGGACCTGTTCTCCCAGGAGTTGCCCCACGGTGGGATCCTTCCCCCCGGAAGCTGCAGGTGTCCCATAGCTGGATCCGTTCCACTGGAGGCTGTGGGTACCCCACAGCTGGATCCACCCCCTCAGGGGCTGTGCGACGGTGGAATCCATCCCCTCGGGGTCTGTGGGTACCCCACGGTGGGATCCATGCCCTCAGGGGCTGCAGGTGCCCCATGGCAGGACTTGTGCCCCCAGGGGCTCGTGGCAGGGATGGAAGGGGATGGCAGGAACGGGTCCTTTTGCCCCTCATCCATAACGTATATAAATATAGAGGCTGTGTGTATCCATTCTATGTATATATGTACAGCGGGGGGGCACCCCCGTGGCGCCCATCACCGGGGCATGGGGCCCCTCACTGGAGCCAGGCGTCGCTGTAGAGGGAGCGGGCCTTGGCGTGGCGCCGGGACGCGGCGCTGGCGTTGAGCACGGCCACGCTGCGCCGGCTGGAGCTCACCACGTCCTTCACGAACCCGGCACAGTCGGGGCACACGTCCCGCAGCACCGAGCCCTGGGCGTAGATGTGCGGGAATTCCTCCTCCACTCGGCGCCAGCACGGCCCCGACAGCGAGCTGCGGCATAGAGCACTCCGTCGGCACCCGCCGGGAGCAGGAGGAGGAGGAGGAGGGGGGAGGAATGGGGAGGAAAGCTCAGGGACTCACTGGAAGGGCTCCCTCCGGCGCAGCGGCAGCGCCTTGGGCAGCAGCGAGCCCGGGAGGCTCTCGAAGCCCAACGCATAGACGGGGATGTGAGCCAGCTTCTTGGAAGGCATCTTCATCTGCCGGGATGTGGAAGTCAGGATGGGATGGGATGGGGACAGGGGTAGGATGGGACACGGTTGGGATAGGGTGGGGCAGGGATAGGATGGAGTGGGACAGGGGCAAGGATGAGATGGGGCAGGACAGGGACGGGATGGGTCAAAGAAATAGCAGGACACATACAGGGACAAGGCAGGACAGGGATGGGATGGGGCAGGGACAAGGGAGAACAGAGACAGGACAAGGACAAAATGGGGCAAGGCAGGACAGGGACACAGTGACACTGGCCAGGGCCAGTCCCTTACCTTCAGGCTGCAGGAGCTACAGACAGACCTGGGGCCACAGAGAGAGGTGTGTGAGTGGGGCCATCACAGGAACCCTCCTGCCACCCTCCCAGCCCCATGACGTGGCACAGCACAGTGCTCACCGCTTGCAGAAGAGACAGGCTGCGGGCCAGGAGAAGAGGGGAAACTTGGCCCTGCAGCAGCAGCAAACCTGCAGGCAGAGTGGGGTGAGTTGGAGTTGGGTGGGGGTACACCTCCACCAACCCTTCTGGCTCCCTGGCCCCATTCCCACCTTCCCTCTCCGCAGGCTGCTGTACAGCTCCTTGCTCTGCAGGAACTTCTCCATCTCAGCCTTGACCAGCACCCTGCGGACATTGATCATCTCCTCCACAGTCAGGGCCAGGCTCTCCACGGGGTGGCTGAACTCCTGCAGGACAGGGGAATGTCATTATGAGCTGTGGCAGAAGGAGCCACAGTCACGCTTGCCTGGTGTCCCCAGAACCCACCAGCCAGAGGTGCTTGGAGCTGGTGGTGGGGGCAGCACTGGATCCGTCCTCTGGTCTCTCCTCCACAGCACCAAGGGCAGCCCGGGACGGTGCTGGGCCATCTGGCAGCCGGTGACAGCTGGCAGGGACAGAGCCTATGAGGAGGGACAGGGAGGTCATGGTGAGCCCATGTTACCTGGTGCCACCACTGCCACAGGGCATGGCACAGCCCCCTGGGGATGGGACATGGGGACCTCCGGCGGTACCTGAGCGGGGCCGGGGCTCAGGCTGCAGTGGCTCCGGGTCCTGGGGTGCAGTCTGGTCAGCCCCTAGCTGGCTCTGCAGCTGTGCCAGGTCCTGCTCTGAGAAGGAGCGATCCCGCTTCAGCAGCACCTCTGTGCCTGGAGAGTCCTCATCCTGCAAGGCCATGGGCACCACATCACCCCAGGGACCTGGCACCCCCCTGTGTCCCCCCACCTCCAGGGTCCCCCCTTGCCTCTGAGAGGTTCATCTCCTCCATCTCGGCCAGAGTGGGCGCCTTGAGGAGGACACGTGGTCGTGGGCGTGTGGGCATGGCACTGGCCGGGCACCGAGAGAGCTCGAGGCAGGAGTTGGAGGCCAGGCGGCCAGCACAGGCATGTGGGATGCAGGGCAGGGAGCTGTACCCTGCAGAGGGACAGTCTCAGCACCATGGGGATGGGCACAGAGCTGGCGCGTCACAGCAGGGAGGGGACACCGGTACCTTTCTGCTCCACGGGCCGGAGCTTCCGCTCCTGCCTGATCTCCTCCAGGATCTTCTCATGGAGCGTCCTCTGCTTTTGGGGCAGGGGCCGCAGCCGTCGCTCTGATGCCTGTGGGATGTGTGAATGGGACCTCAAGTGGTAGCCATGGCTCAGGGATGGCACTCCCAGGGTGGGCATGGCACCGTGCCAGGGAGGTGTCCCAGTGCCAGCGCTCACCTGCTTCAGGGGGGGCCGGGAGCGGATGAAGTCGAGGATGAGCTCGTGGGCATCCTTCTTCACCCGTGGGGGGATGTCTCCATCCACCTGGGGAGGGCAGGGGGTCAGTGCCAGGCTGGGGCATGGCAGGATGGAGGGTGAGGGGCTGGCACAGTGGCTGCCCTCACCATGACCTTGCGGAGTTTGTAGTTGCGGGCACGGATGTCCTGCATGAGCATCTCGAAGGGCGTGAGCTGGTACTCAGTGGGCAGCGGGTTGAACTGCTTCTCCTGCACCTTCTTCAGCTTCACGCCGTGCCGCAGCTCTCGCATCAGCTGTACCCACAGCCGGGCCTGGGGGGGCACATGGACACAGTGTCAGCACCCACCCACCCATCATGGCCCCCATGCCCCAACATGCCACTGTACCCAGTCGGTGTTGCGCAGGCTGCCCAGCTCTGCCGCCGGCCGCTCCTCCTCTTCCTCATCCTCCTTCAGCTTCTGCAGCAGCTGTTGTGGTACAAGATACTGTCACCCTGCCCTGGTGGCACTGAGGGTCCGACTGAGACCATGTCATGGGGCTGCAGCACTAAGGTACACCCAAAAACACCCGCATTCCCAGCTGGCACAGCACTCTGGGAGATGTTATGGCCAAACGCCGGCACCAGCAGCCCTGGTGGGATGGGCAGAGAGGGCACTGGCTGGCTTCCCCGGCTAGGTAGCGGTGCCAGTGGCCACCCACACTCACCTCCTTGGCATCACGGATCTTGGCGAGGAAGGCCATGAGCTCCACAGTCTCAGCGAAGAGTGCGCGGCACACAGCCTGGTAGTGCGCCGGGGCGCCGGCAGGGTCGGCCAGGCGGGCAGCACAGCACCGCATGGCCTGGCCAAAGGTGCGCACAGCGCGCGGCGGTCCCTCGCCCCCCTCCTCCTCCTCCTCCTGCCCCCCATAGCCCTCGTCAGCTGTGGCACAGCCACTGTCCTCTGAGTCGCTGTTGGTCATCAGGTCAATGAGCTGCTCCAGGCGTGGGCTCAGCTCCCGCTCCTCGTTCTCATCCAGCCCCCAGTCCAGTGCCCGGTACACAGCGAAGCCCAACGACTGCACCATCTGCAGGACATGGCACAGGCTGGGCATTGGATGTACCCTGGCACCAGCTGCCCCCTCACCCATCAGTGCTGGGTCCCATCCTAGCACCCATGGGCAAGGGGACCAGGTGGCAGTGCCCACCCCACACTGGCGTGTGATGGCAGATGGGGCCAGTCATCGGCCCCCGCATACCTGGGCTTCAGCGGAGGGCGTCAGCAGCGCGGGCAGGTCTGGAGGGAGGAGGGCAGAGTCACCACTTGCACCCATAGCCCCGCACTGGGCATCCCACCCTGCATCACCTGGGGATGTGCTGCCCACCCAGCTCAGCTGTGGCGTATCCACCCTGAGCAGGTCCCACTCCCAACAGTTTCTACCCCAACCCAGGACTCCCGTTCCTGGCTGCTCTCATCCTGTCCTGGTCCCAGGGCATGGCTCCATGGGGCAGTGGGCACCCGCACATTGAGCCCTGGCATCAGGCAGTGGCAGCGCCGCATCCAGGGGGGCACAGGCGTTCCTTTATCACTCACCTCCAGGGCTGGAGGGAACTGAGAGCTCTGCAACCATGGGGAAATGCCTCTGCATCCCTTTGGGTTGTGGGCACCAGGAGTGTGGGTACCAGGAGTGTGAGCACCAGGAGTGTGAGCACCGGCAGTGTGGGCAGTGGCAGTGTGGGCACTGACATCATGAGCACCAGCAGTGTGGGTATCGGGACTGTGAGCACTGGCAGGGTGGGGACTGGCAGCCACAACTGGAACACGGCACACACACATGCACACACAGAGCCCAGGACATGCTCGTGGGCAGCTCAAACTCTCCTGGCAGCCGCAGGACGAGGAACACAAGTGGCCTCTGCAGTGTCCCTGGGGCTTCCAGCTCCACTTCCTGACCATTAGCTCTGCATTGAGCTAATCAATGCGGCAGCTGCAAGGATATGCCAGTCGTGTGCCAGCCAGAAACGGACAGCAAGGGCAGCTCCAATGGTGGTCACGGTGCCACACACAAACCCATCACCAACCCATATGCCCCAGCCATGCCCAGCTCCCACTGCAGTGCCAGCCCTGGGATGCCAACCCTGCAGTTGGTGCCTGGCCAGCAGGATGAGCCCAGTGGGTCCCAGCAGCTCCCTCTAGCCACTGGGACACAGCTAAGGAGGGAGTTCCCATGGGACAGGGGACTGGAATGGCTCCAGAGGGTGCTGTTGGCTCACCCAGTGCGGATCCAGCCCCATGCCCAGGCAGAGCTGCCAAGCCACGTGCCAGGTTGTTACCACCACCTGCAACGGTGCCCAGAGGCACCCAGAGCCTTTCCAGCCTCAGGCTTCACTGTGAAGAGGCCTGGTTCATCCCTGGGGAGATGGCTCAGGTTGGCACAGAAGTGACCTGGTAGCAGGAGGCAGCACGGTGTCACTGGCACGGTGGGACTGGCACGGTGGCACTGGCAAGTGACACCGGCTCCAGCCCCACAGTGGTTCAGGGCAGGGCGTGGGGCCATTCCCAAGCAGGACCAGTGGAGCCGGTGTGACCACACCATGCTCAGATGCCACAGGCACGTGCCATGCCCATGTGTGTCCCTGCCTTGGGCATGGAGATGCCCAACACGCCCTGGCGTCTGCCCGGCCACTGGCATCAAGGCCATGCAGTGACCCCACAGCACCGGCCCCTGTGGCCTCGCCGTTGGACGAGACAGGTGGAGGCATTGGCTGCACTCCAGGTGCTCCTGGAGCCTCCCAGTGTCACCACTGGCAGCCAGCCCAGCCTAGTGACACCCCTGAACCGTCACAACTGTGGCTGGCAGTGCCAGTCTCCCATGGAGAGATGGCCGGGAGGCTGAAGGTCGGAGATGGGGCTGTCCCGTGTGCCATGCACAGGGGGCTGGGGCAGGACGAAGTGCCCTGTGTGTGCAGGTGTGGGTGACCCATGGATGTCCCTGTGGGTGTCCCCGTGTCTGTCTGTCCTTGCCGTGTGTGTCCTGCAGCCTCACGGTGGATGCCAGGACCACGCATACCCCTACATCCAGGTCCAGCCTCATTGGGTTACCCGGGAGGCCCTGCCGGTGCCAGTGTCGGTGCCACAGCAGCCCTGGACCCCGAATTCATCAGCCCATCTTCCCCACCAATCCCGGCAGTGCCGCTGCCAGTCCCCAACGCCGGGGCCAGGGCTTGGGGCTCATCCCCGTCCCCGCCTCTGCTGCCTTCCTGCCCCCCGGTGCCGATACTGTCCCTCTCTCCATCCTCACAGTCTCTCTCAGCTTCTCCGGTGCCCTCCCCGCACCGCTCCCCTGCGGCCGTTGCCTCTGTGCCTGCCCCCCCCCCGCGATGTCGCTTCTCCTGCCTATCCGTCGCTCCCGGTACAGGTCCTTCTCCACCGGTGCCGGTCCCTCCCGCCAGGGCCGCTGCGGTTGCCCCCCACGCAGCCGATATCCCTCGTCCCTCCGCGTCCCCTACGCCGGTGCAGCACCCCCTGCCGGTGCCGGTAAGTCTCAGGTGCCCGCTCTTTATGCTGGTAAGACCCGGTGCCCCGGGTCCCAGCGCCCGTAAGTCCCAGTGCCTGTAAGTCTCGGTGCCGGTAAGCCCAGTGCCTCACTCCCGGTACCAGTAAGCCCCGGTGCCGGTAAGTCCCGATATGCCGGGTCCCGGTGCTGGTAAGCCCCGATGCCGGTGCCCCGTTCCTGGTGTCGGCAGGCCCTGGTCCTGCTAAGCCCCGGTGCCAGTAAGTCCAGGTGCCTGGGTCCCAGGGCCAGTAAGCTCCTGTGCCCCGCTGCCGGTGCCTCGCTCTCGGTGCCGGTAAGTCCCGGTGCCGGTAAGCCCTGGTAAGCCCCAGTGCCATTAAACCCCGGTAAGCTGTGGTAAACCCCGGCGCCCCGCTCCCGCGGTGCCGGTAACTCCTGGTGCGGGTAAGCCTCGGTGCCCCGCTCCGGTGTCTGTAAGCCCCGGTGCCCCGGTAAACCCCAGCAAGTCCCAGTGCCCGTAAGCCCCGGTAAGCCCCGGTAAGCCCCGCTCGGCGGTGCCGTCCCGTCCCCCCCCGCGCGGGCGCCGCCCGCTCCCGCCCCTCCCGTGCAGCGGCGACCTCACCGTGCGGCGGGGCGGGCAGGCGGAGGGAGCCGTCGGCGCGGAGGCGGATGTCGGCGGTGCGGAGCGGCGCGGGGGCCACGGGGGCGGCGGCGGCGGCGCGGCAGCCCTGGAAGCAGAGCGCCCAGGCCTGCTCCTCGTTCAGCGGCTGCTCGTAGCACTTCAGCACCTCCTCCAGGGACAGCTCCCGCGGCGGCCCCGCGCCCGCCCGCGCCATCGCCCCATCCCGCACCGCCGAGCGCGGCGGGCGGGGGACACGGGGCGGGGGCGCGCGGGGACACGCCCCCGAACGGCCACGGCCACGCCCGCGCCATCGGCCCGGCCCGTCCCGCACCGCCGGGAGCGCGGGGGAGGCGGGGACACGGGGACAGGCCCCGCCCACCGCCCCGGCCACACCCACCGCCCCGGCGCCGGCACCGGCACCACCGGGGGCACCCGTCGGGAGGGGCCGCGGCGGCGCCGGGGGGCACGGGCGGATCGAGACGGCGCGGGGCGAGGAGGCTCGGTGCGGTACGGTGCGGTACGGCACGGTACGGTACGATACGGTACGATACGGTATGGTACGGTGCGGCACGGCACGTTACGACGTGGCTCGATATGTATGGCACAACTTGGTACGGTGTGGCACGGCTCGGTATGCCATGGCATGACTCTGTACTGTGTGGCACTGCATGGTATCGCACGGCACTGTACAGTGTGGCATGGCTCATTAGAGTGTGGCACGGCACAGCACAGCTCGGTACAGTATTGCATGGCTCGGAATGGCACAACTTGGCATGGCACGCCACAGCACGGCACATCACAGCTCAGTTTGGGATGGCACAGCTCAGCACGGGACAGTACATCACAGCATGGCCCAACCCGGCCCGCCCAGGCTATAGAACTGGGTGCAGGGAGGGGTTGCCCTGGGTTACCTGGGTGTAGGGTGCAGGGCGCAGGGCGCACACCTGGGCATAGGGCAGAGGGCACAGGGCGTGGATGCCCCAGGCATGGGGTGCAGGGCACGCGATGAGGAGTAGTGCCTGGGGTGGGTGCGGGGCAATGCTGGCTGACACCCCACAAGGGACACAAGAGCCCCATTCACCCCGAGAGGATCAGGGTGGACATGGCACATGGCTCAGCCCTAGCCCTGGCTCCCACCCCACAGAGTCAACGTGCCATGTGTGGAGCAGCAGGTGGAGGGACATGATGGCCTTGGGACTGGGGTCACCTGGGGACACAGAGCAGGAGCAAGGGCAGGAACTCAGGATGCCAGCACCCATGGGGACACCTGCCATGAGGCACCTTCCCAGGTGCTGGGAAGCCTGGGGAGCTCAGCTGGGATTGGGAGGGAAAAGCCAGGCTGGGACAGGAAAACTCCTCAGAGGGAAGGAGAAGAACTCCAGATGCCAGAGTGTGGTTTGTGCATGGCCAGGAGCAGCAGGAGCGGATTGAAGGTGCCAGGATGAGATGGAGTCTCTAGGGAGACAACGTCCCTTGGGAACGTGGTGTGGGGATTCCACAGCCACTGGGAATGGCTGGCATGGCATGGTGCTGATGGTGGGATTGCTCTTGGGCATCGGCTTGTCCCTCTGGACACATGGGGAGGGCAGGATTGTGCTGGCAGACCAGAAAGGACAACCAGTCCATGAGAAAGGTCAGAGGGAGCACATGAATACTCTTGTCATGATGAGCTTCCCATTTCCATGATGGAAGGAGCATAAAACCCTGTCTCAGCTCCATTAACCCATGAGCATAAACTGGGATCAATCCCAGAGCTGTGCTGGCTAGGCTGGGAGGGGGACAGAGCAGGGACATGGATTCTGTTTGTCCCACATAGCCAAAGGAGCTGCAGGGCCAGAGACCGCTGGCAAAGAGCCTGGGATGGAGGAGAAATGCCCTTCAGTGCCCATCCCAGAGAACCTGAGGAGTGCCAGCTCCATCTTCAGGAAAGAAAATGGGAGAATGGAGCTGGAATACTGTGAAATGCAGCCCTGTACAGTGCCCTGGGGTTTGGGAAAGGGGAGGATGGATACAGGTGCATCTCTTGGATTGCTCAAATGCACCATGTCCAGGCGGGAGCATGTTACAGGGAGTTGGGAGCACAGTGCATCCCCAGCTGCATCCACATGGAATGGCACATGTCTCCAGCCCCTGGAGCAGCTCATGGCCACAAAGCCAACACCTGGCTCTGGTTCGAGAGATTTGAATGCAATGTTTGCTCCATAATCAGCTGTTTTGGAGCCTGCCTGGGAAGCGACTTCCCGGGAGGAAAGCCCACCAGAGCAGGGCTGTGCGGTGCCGGGTGCCAGCTTTCCATCGCCTCCAGACACAGCCGGGGCGGCACCGGCGGGGAGGGGAGCAGGGAGGACGTGCGGGCGTTTGAAGACGAGGATAACCCACCCTGCAGGATTCATGGGATGGCATTTGCATGACAAAGCACGGAGCCCTTTGCTTTGGGTAAATCTGCAATTAATATGGAATCGCAGCATAATTAAAAGCTACCAGAGTGGAAAACTCAAACAGAAGCCAAGCGTGTATGTGGATGAGGGAAATAGAATTAAAAATGAAAGATAAAAGGAAAAAAAAATATGAAGAGTTTGGGAAAAGGTGTCAGAGTGCTATGGGAGGGTTGAAATTCCTGGTTCCTTCAGTGTGGAATCAGGAAGAGAGTGGCACAGAGGTGGGATGGAGGGCAGACAGAACCCTTCCCCAGCCACCTGCAGCTGTGTGCCGTGTTTCCTTGGGGATATGCCATTCCCATGGGTTTCAACTGTCATATGCAAAAAATTTCCCTAAAAAGCCACAGGAACCTGGAATAAGCACATGGAGCACCTGTGGGATGGACGTGCTTCTCTCGTTTTCCTTCCATGCTGCAATAAACTGGGAACATGGAAGGAGGGAGCATTTGACAGGGCAGTTTCCTACTGCTGCATGCTGGCCTTGGATGTGGCTGGAGTTTAAAGTGGGATGCTCTGAGGGACACCTTGGGGACATTTGGGGACCATCCTGGAGCCATTGAGAACACCCTCAGAGACCTCGGAACACACTGAGGACCTTGGGATCACCATGATGGTCTTAAGGTGACCCTTGGGGGCACATTGGAGACTTCAAGGCCACTCGAGTAACCTTGGGGACAACCTTGAGGACACCATGGGGACCTTGGGGATACACTGGGGGTGGCATGGAGACTTTGGGGACACCATGGGGACCTTGGGAACATCGTGGGGACCTTGAGGACACTGAGGGCACACAATGGGAACCCTGGGCAGTGATGAGCTCTTTACTGTACCTCTCGATGTTGCCTTGTTGGGTTCCATCATAGCAATGGTTTCCCCTGTTTTTCCTTCCTTGGCCAAACCAGAGTCCCTGACCCAGTGTTCCACAGCACTCACTGCTCTTAGACTTTCTGATTCCCTGGAATGCCCCAGCCAGTCCCAAGGCAATGAACTCCCGCACTGGATACTGGCACTTGGATCTTCCTGAGGGGACACTGAGCCCATCCTGCTGCTTTCCCACCACCTTACACCCCTGTGTAAGCAGGTCCACCTGGAGGACCAGGTTCCCTGGACACTGATGCTGTGAGAGCTCCCCAGTGTCCATGTGAATAAACCTCAGGAGTACCCTGGAATGCCAAGCTCTCGGTCAGACACCTGCTGGGGCTGGCCTAGTGGGGCATCCCAAAATCTGAGGCTGCCCTAAACTTGACAATGGCATCCTGAGGGGTTAACGTATCTCAGGAATGTGACTCTGGCAAGGGTTCCTAAACTCGGTTCTGTGGGGTCTCTCTGCAGCCTCCCCGGCACCAGCTGCCAGACTCTCTGGCACTGCCGGGAAGTGTTCTCCAGCTCTTGGCGCGTGTGCTGCTGACTCACCCCCTCCGGGGCCAGCTCACAATGAACCATCCCACGGCCAATTCCAGCAGGAGCAGGAGCTGATTCCCGATGGTCGCATGCGGACGGCGGCTGACAGCTGTGGTTCATCGCCAGGGAGGATCAGACCAGAGGGAAAATCCCTCTGGGAATTCTACACTGCTTCCTATGGAACCTTACAGCCATTCAGGACTTAAAGGGAGCTGAGAAAAAAAGAGAGAGAGAGGTTTTGGAAAAGGGTATGGAATGACAGGAAAAGGGGCAATGGCTTCCCACTGCCAGAGGGCAGGGTTAG